GCTGTAAATACCGAGTAAAATGGATGTTGTCTTAACATGGCTAAGAGCAAGTGTAGTTGGTAGGGGGGGGGCGTGCCTACTACTACTACTACTACTACTACTACTACTACTACTACTACTGCGGCTAGTACTACAGGTACACTATTATCATATCTGTTGCCAGTACAGGAGCCATTACCATTACGGGGACTGCTACTATTTCAATTAGCACTTCTATGAGGGTTAGCACTAGTAGCGGCATTGGTATTACCAATAGTATTAATAGCTTTTCATGCTCTGGTACCTTCCCCTGAGGTGAAGACTTTAGACCAGCGCTGAACCAACAAGGACTTCACACATGCATGCACACACAGACACACACGCACACACACTCACACTAACTATGCTGCAAAGCTCTGCAATGGCATAGATGATGTCAAGCTGTTGCACCATTTTTTCCTCGGTTTTCCCAATGCATGTTCATGAGCATGTCTGCTTCCTCCCCATTCTCTCGCCCCCTCTCTTTCTTTCTCTAAGGCAGAAAGGTCCTCTCTCTTTCGCTCGTCTCGGGCACGACTGCAGACGAAAGCAAGGCCGACTCCACAAGCATTTCTGAACATGTCGACCCACCCTAGGCCCTCGGCAATCAGGGCCGAGATGAACAGATGCTGGTTAATTGGTAATTAGTTCGGATCATGTTGGACCTCTCACTCCACATACCCGTGCCCAAATGCAGCCAAGCGTGCAGTAGCCTGTGGAAACCAGCCGGCCGCACGATCCTGGTGCACGCCGAACAGCCATGGAAACCCCAAAAACCCTGAAGGTCATGCCAAATCCTGAAATGACAGCCGGTAGTCTATAATCATCAGTCCCCGGTTAACAGAGCCCGGCCTTGGAGTAAGGTCGATCCGAGGCCGCGATGCCCAGCTCTTGTCGCTTTGTCCTTCATGGCTACTCCCCTCATGTCTGTGTTGGACAATAGCTTAATGCACCCATTTTTTCAAAGTCTTCCCATGTCCCGCCTGAACAGAGCCTCGGTAAACTTGGTGCAGGCCTTGCGCGGACCGCCTCGGGTGCAGCAGCCACGTGTCAACCAAGAGGTACGAAGAGGGCACGTTGGGTGATGCGCATCCTCCGGCCGCGGAGCCTCCGCACCTGCCGACCCGAGATTTTGCCAGCTCCAGCTTCGGATGACCCTCCTCAGAGCAAGGGCTGTTGGAAGCTGCTTAAGACTCCGCAGGTCCGTTGAAGCTGCAACCTCTTTCCGACTCCTCCTTGCCCGGTGTGTGCTAAGAGGTTCATCTGTCTAAGAGTAAATGCCAAGAGTCTGGAAAAAGGAAATCGTTGCCTAAGATCTGCAATTCTGAAGCTTTTCCATGCAATGGCACATCTGGTTCATTCCACTCCAGGGCACATGACCCTCGCGGAAGTCGACCGGCACAGGCAGTCAGCACCTCTACGCGCATGGCAGGGCTATACATTGGATCAAGAAGCCGCTTCAAGTAGAAGGACTGTTTTCATTGCTACAACCCCCAGTTCTCACGAAGTCTTCTAAAACACTAGTCACAGCTGAGTGGCATCGAAGATGCGCTCGGCAGCTTTCTGACCACCAGCATCCTCCCTTACCATAACGATGTACACCTCAATGCTGTGACTGCGGATGGGGCCGCCGGATGCAGTCGAAAGCCGTGTTTCAGTAAAGGAGCACGGGGCCGGCTCTGTGGAAGGCCCCAATCCTCAGGCAAAAAAGGCGAGGATAACGGGGCACGGCCACGCGGCGTAGCAAAGTCCCGCAGAAGTTGTAGTCGACTCCCGACTCTTTCTCATCATAACCGCAGCTCAGCTTCGTAGGAATACAATATGTCCCATCGAAGCCCATAGCCTTCGATGAGGCTCAACCCCCAATCAGCGTTGGGCTCAGTGCCCTGATAACAGTCCTCTTGGCTTTCCTCGGAACAGCAAGCAGTTAAGGCAATGTGTAGGGTGGAGACGGGTTTTAAGCTTGAGCTGCTTGCTTTGGAGCACAAACACGGCACCAAGTCGGCTTATCTAGAGTTTTACCTAATAGAAACATGTCTTGGCACACCAAACCGAGCTCAGCTCCCATCCAACTCAGACAAATCTCGAAGCACCTTGCCGATCCACCGACTTCCCTGCCTCATCGGCCTCATCGCACAGCAACGGCCTTGGATCACCCCCATGATCTTGTCTGGCAGGAAGTCGCCAGTTCGTTCTTGATGGTCAGGACCAACATCTTCAAACACGTCAGGATGTAGATGCCGTGGTAGATGTCGTACATGTCGTTCTCTTGTTCGCTTCTCGTTTGACGCATTGTGCTGGCGCCTCAGGGCCGGCTTCTGTCACGACCGCTGTTTGTGCTGGCTTGTATTCTTGTATCACGAAAGGCTGCCGTTCTGGTAGCCGTCGAAGTTGTCCCAAGTATGGTCGTTTTTTCTCACCGCTTGCTCATGCCTTGCCCGTACCGTCTCAGCTGGCTTCGTAAACTTGCCTGCATGTTCCATCCTCCTCAACTCCTCCTTTCCGACACTATCACCTCAACACCAGGTTACCTCGGTCCGGCGTTCCGCATTTTGTGTTTCCACCTGCGAAAGGTGTCGGACACCCTCTTGCGTTCAATCGCCTGTGTGTCATATTCGCGTTTTACCTTGTCAAAAAAGTCCGGAAGCCCTGCAGGGTTTACGTGGTCCTGGTGTGCCATATCCTGTCCATGGGTAGTTTGGCATGGGTCTCTCCCGCTTGAGTAAATCGTCCTTGGAGATAGATTTGGACATAAACAACACGGATGTTTCGACCCCTTGGCATGATGTTCGTTGACGTGTGTGTCCTCAGCATCAAACCGTCGCGGGACGCGGGACGTGAGAGCCCGCCCGAAGATCAATGCACTACGCATCTTTTGCAAGGAAGGGTCAAAAATCATCTTCACGGCGAAAAATCCTTCAACATCGTGCTTTTCATCTCCACCGTCATCACGCCCAGAGGGTCAGACGAAGCACCATGTCATCCACATCACGATTTGCAACAGGGAGTGCGCCCTCTGTTCCAGTGCACTTGCTGTCTGGATAGTCTGCATCTGTTCGATTGGTGGATTGTTCCTGAATGCCAGAATCGCTGCGGCGGGTGGGCAGACTTGTCCAAGCAGTGTTTGAGTGAATGTGGCTGCCGGACCACAGAGACTCGCTCCTACTTTCCTTAGGTCTTTCCCGTCGCACTGGGGCGAAGCGTCTCGTCTTGCTTTCCGGCCTTGAACTCATCTTCCACACATTTTACCTTATGTCCAACTGTCTGGACGGATCGGTTGGCAGGATGGCTTCTTGTGGCTGCAAAACACTTCTTCGTCCGCCACACCATCCTCGTCCTCACCAGTCTCCTTCCTTTACCCACAACGCTCCATTGCTTTCACCCACGCTGCCATAGGTTTGCTCCCGATAACAGGCCCGAGGAAACTAGTCCAATTCCCTGCGGGTGTTTTTCGCTCTTCTCCTCCTGATCCTGCTTTAATGCGTGTTCGAGCCGAACTCGAAGAAAACTTCGTTAAACGTTCCATGCCGTTGTACCCACGACCGAGCTAGCCGTAGCAGCACCGACAACTCGTTGGCACATCGCCGATCTGCTGGGGTGTTTAGGGGGTCGTGCCCCTTGCCACTGAGCAAGACGAGCATTGACCATGTCACAGAAGCAATCCCCCTGCGACCAGCCAGCAATCGGCATTCCGTCCTCCGTGCTTCGGCTGCAGCATGTGGATTTTCTTCAACGCCATGGCCCTCAACGCCATGCAGCTCAGAATTCGAAACGAGACCCGTCACGACACTATGAGTCGCATGACGACAAGGGGTGGCCACGCTTTATGTCAGCACCCCATCGAAACATGGACAAAACGTTTAGCCAACTGTCAACATTCCTTCGCCTCCCGAGATGCACAGACAAGTGCTTGGGTGGCAAATCATGGTCACTTGGAATCTCGAGGTGAACTGGTATGACAACTTTTCTTTGGCACCCAAACGCCGATGAGCCGCATGTAGCCGTAAGCAGCGCTTGGAAACGCAAAGCAATTGATTTTGTCAACGAGTCTTGTCTTTCCAAGTTGTACAGTGGCGAACTTGCGTGAACACAGGACCGTAGTCTTCAACGGGCTCGGACGGGCGAAAGCGCAAGCGAAAGCATGCCTTCACTTGGTGCACGGGCAACCACTTCCGCTTGCGCACACACACACACACACCAAGTACGTTTCGTTTCCGTTTTTGCAATCTTAATCAAATACTCCCGGGGACCAAATACAAACTTTGGCGCCCTGAGCGTGATCCTTGCGCCTTCTCTGTGTCGAGATCCTGACACACTTTAAGCGACCCCTTAAGAACAGACACCGTCAGGAACAGCTGCTTTCCGTTTTCCCGGATTTGGGTTTGATACTCCAAGCTCTGGGTAGACATCAGCTCAAAGGCTGACAAAGAAGCATCCGCTACTTCAGCAGGCCACTGGGGCACTTGGGGGGGCAACCTCCCAACAACGACCTCAACCACAACCTTGAGAACTCCTCAGACAAACATGGGCCAAGCGAGTCAAACGTGCCTTTCCAAGCTGCAACTTGAAACTAGAACGCGTATCACTCGCGGTCGTGGCTTTGGGCCTTGAGGCGCGTGGTATGGCTTAATCTTAATGTTAGAGCTTGCGGGTTTCGGGCTTAGGGCTGCGGCTTAGGGTTTTTGCTGCTCCCGGACAGACCCATTCAGGTCGGAAAATGGAGGCAAAAGAAGCGCCTCAAGACTATGCCATAAGTGCGTAAGCAGTCCCGGCGACCCCGTGCATTTGCAACCACTGGGGTTACAGACGAATTTTCGCATGCACACCACCTGAACAGCACTCTCGGTGATAAAACCGGGAGGTGCTGCCGGTCAATTTCGCTTACACCTTCCGACTTCGGCTCGAAGGCTTGTTTTTTGTTCCGCACCTTTTTCCATTCACCTACTCCGACCTACTCAGCCGACTCCTAACGAACTGTTTAAAAACCTCTCTTGGCAAGCTGCTGGGCCAACCCAGTAGCCCCCTCAGCACTCGCGGCGGGAAGCGATGGCACCCTCTTCGGACTGTTCTTCACCTACTGACGTCCGACCAACATTGCATCCAGATTTCACTCCGGGCACTTCGGTGCATTGTACCCTTTGACTGGGTCGACCATCAGCATGGGGTTTGAAAATGTCCCTCTGCGAGGTCCCCGGCCCAGCCCTCCGCTGCTTGAAAATGTGTGTGACGATGTGCAAAAATCAGGTCCGGTGTGTTCGCCACCATGGCATCACCTTGCTCCACCAACTGCTTCCTTGCATTCACTGTCTCCGGCAACATCACCATCTCCTTGTCAGCAGCGTCCTTGCCCTCATGCATCTTTGCCGTCACACTCAGTCACACATAGCCACGACCCCGAACTACCGCTTCCCCTCGTCGACCGCTGCCCACCCCTTAAATTAGGATTCGGGCCAGCGTTGGGCGCTTGGGGCTAGGGTTTGGTATCCTACAGTAATAAGGCTCAGACTCAAGCACTTACAACTTACAACTCGACATAACATTGACTATTGCAAGGTTGTTAGTCGTTGGTGGCTTTGATTTGTCATATAAGGGACAGGAAGGTGGGCAGATACAGAATCGCGGCCCAAGCTGCAGGGTTTCGGCCTCGAAGAATAAAATCGATAGGAGGGTGCTCGGTTTCCGGATTCGGTGCGAGCAAACCCTTCACCTCGGCGCATACAGCAGTAAAAGGTGTTGTGGCTGCGTGCCAAGAACCCGGCATTCTCCAGGATCACCAACCGCGGTCTCCTCTCCGCGATGAACTTTCCTGAGCATGCGGGGAACGACGTGCTGTGGCCAAAGCTCCCAGACAAGGATGTTGCCAGTCAGTCCAACTTGACTCCACCCAAGTCATCAGGACGTGACATGCTGTCTACCTGAAACTGTAAACTACCCGCGACGGAGCGTGCACTCAGCGGCATCGAACCCGGAAAAGCTCCATATGCAGAGAAGGAGCGCATCTCGAAGAAGGGCACGGCTGCAGGTTCAGTAAAGCAGTTCCTCTTGAACCGCTTGGGATTGCAAAAAGAATACCTTGGTGCCACCACTGAGTTAGGCAAAGTCGACAAACACGACTCTCCGCCGAAGACCGTCCAGGCAACCCCAGCCCTCCAAACCTCGTCGAAGCAAACCTTCACGAAAGAACCCATGGAGTCGCCACGTTGCGGAGTGCAAGGAAAACCTCCGACGAAAATGTCCACCTCCCCGCCAGGCACGCTGCAGCGGCCACCATGACGAGCACAGGCCCCGGAACCTGCACCAGTCGAAGAGCGAACCGAGGCCTGCACAGTTTACCACACCTTGCATGACGTAGCAAACGTCCTCGAAGAGGTGCTTGGTGTTGCCTCACAGGTCCAATGGGCAACCATCGTCGTGGATGGACGGTATGCGCAAAGACCGCAAAGCAACCACTGCAGCTGCGAACATCCGCGAGCAAGACCCACAGACCGACCGGCTCTGGCTTGACTGCAACTTCCAAGATTCATATCTTCCTGATGTGGAGCAAAGCCAGTAACCACAAGGAACCCCGTTTACAAGTGTCGTTTGTCGAGATGCAGTTCCTAAGGATAAAGCGCCGCGGGTTCTCGTTGATCTCGGAGCCGAACAGCTGCTCGAAGCCTAACTCACAAAACAGATCATAATAGCCTGTCAGCTCTTCGGTATTTCGGGGAGCTTGAGGCTGCGGACACACATCGTGGTGTCTTGCGAAACATGTTGGTTGCCGGACACATGCTCCATCCACTTGGGAGGCCTTTGGTCCAAACTGAATCCAAACCTTTCTGAAGTCTGATTCGCCTGTGCCGGCATCTTATGAACCACTTGGAGATGCGCCTTCGTGGCCCACGAGCTGGCGCATGGCAAAATGTGGCGCCTAGCCGGGCTCAAACCGAGATCTGAAAACGCTGCCGAAACTGCCCCATGCCTCTGCACCGGAGCAGCCAGTGACAAGACCTAATTGGAACGATGCACAAATCGGGCCCAAAATTTTTGTAAGTGCCTTCAGGAAGCAGCACGACATAGTCATTGCGTGCATTAGCCTGACTCTGGATGGGTCCACGGCTGAGCTCTATCGAATAATTTTAGTCACCCATGGCTACGTTGCAGGACTGTATTCTTCTTCTGCGCTATTACTACTCTTCTCCCACCATTGGGCCAGGTGGCGCAAGGGCCGTTGGACGAAGTCAAACTCGGCAGCCAACAAGTCCTCCCAGGAATGTTACACACACCCTTGGTTCGCGGATGCTCGTTGCTGGCTTGCTCAGAAATCGGCTGGAAAGGTCTCGCTTGTTTGCTAAATCATCACTGTACATTGACTGTGCAGCTCGTCTGGCCGCAAAGGCAACCTTTCCGTGCAGGCCCCATGTTACCCATGGATATCTTTGCTCCAACCCCATAGAAGGGTGACGCGGGCTTCTGTCCGTGTCTTTTATCTTTACCTCCTTGACACGAAACCTGTGCAGCGCACTGGCACGCGGAGGCCAGGTGAAAAGCTTTTTTCGAAGCATTGATGTCAACATGTCTGAGTACTTCCTCTGGCTCTTACCATGCCACGGCCGCAATGTCGCCGACGGAAATCTCCACCCCACTGTGGTCGAGAAAAACCAGCGCGTTCTGCCCGAAATAGACATCATCTGCTCTTCTGGATTCACTAAAGAAGCCCTTGTGCAGCGCTGCACTCTGGGCCATCAAGCGTCCAGAACGGTGCTCTCGCAGGGTCTTCGTCACAGCGCCTCCTGTCTGCGTCGTTCGCGTCCCGGTCTGCTGGTCAATTCCAGGGACAGTGCAGCGGGAGCAAGGCTTCACCAATGGCAGCTGCACTCCTGGAAGGGACAATGACCGCATCTCGTCCTCTTGAAAAGGCCCACAACCTTCCACATGGATGTTCGGTCGAAAGCGGTCAATGCCCACAACCGGGCCCCCTGCATTTTTCACCTGCTTTGGAAATGCAACATCAATGGACTCACAACAAAAACATGAGTGCTGTCGTTCCTGCCGAGCAACTCTTCTGCGAATTGCATCGATGGAGGCTTGCGATGTCACAAGCACTGGGAAGCCGTCAGAGAAGGCAGTCTCTCCAATGCCGTACTTGGGGTCCGTAGTTCGTTGAGCCGTCTTGGCGATTCTAACCTCAGAGGAGATAACCGATGTTACCGAAGATGGGGTCTACAAATGGGCATTTCAGCCAAACAAATGAGTAGATGTGGGGTTGAATTACGGCTGGGTAGACCCATTTCCGAAATGGAACCTACTAGCCTGACGACTGACGATGTGGGCTGAAGTTGGGGATGGGCGGGGTAGCTCCCTGGGCCAGCAAGCTCATGCATGATGATTGGAAGGTGCCGGCGCAGTTGGCGGATTTCCGACTTTCAAGTCCCGGCTGATGCTCGACATGCTCAACTTGCGTAGCTTGTCCCGAACTAGCGAGCAGCGAGGAGCTACAGCACATCCACCACCACAGACCCTGCAGCCCTACATTCCTGCCGCCCCACTTGGCTGCGGTTCGGGAAAGGATCTCGACTTTCAAGTCACAGGCTCTGGTACACAATCGCTGTTGCAATCGTAAGGATTCGGCTGCTGGCACAATCTTTAAACTGAGAGAGGGAGAGAGCCAGAGCGCGAGAGAGAGAGAGAGAGAGAGAGAGAAATTTGTTCTACCCCGGAAGAGTCCTGTGAAAGGCCCTTGCACACGAGAGGCCCACGCCCGATGACCCCGGGAGCACAACAGCCAAGAATCTCCCAATTGCCTTACGCCCGAAGCTCTTCAATCAGCTATGTCGACTTAGATTGGTGTTCAGCCGAACCCCCTCCCGCTACAATACATGCAGAATCAGTTTCGAGGAATTGCAGCCTAACTGCTAGCCGCAGGCCATCAATCCGCAAGTAGCTTGAAAGCCACTTTGCCACCTCGTCACCTCCAACAGTCGCAGGCATGACGTTGCAGGGTGCACATCCCAGAAAAGTTGGTCAGGCAATCCGCTTTTCCAACTCCCTGCCTTGATCTATTGCCGGTACCCAGTCCTCCCAAACCTGAGCGACCACAAACATTTAAAGCTTTGGCAGCAGAACATAGCAGAACCCTCTCTCTGTCACGTCTTCCAAAGAAGCTTCACAGCCAGTCCCATGCCCAGGAGCTCTGACCTTCTTCTCTGGGCCATCTACCTTCAGCGGCACAAGCAGCGGGTCCGCAGCCTCCCCCGGAGCCACGCGCATCATGATGCCTTTTGAGGTTGGCAGGTCCTGCCAAGTTAGGAGCGAAGTAGGGGAACTAGTGCTCCAGGCACAGTGCTTGTATGTGCTTACTGCTTGCCGAGTGTCTGGATGGATGAGGGCCATGCGGGGTAGCTCGCGTTGTGAAACAAACTCCATTTTGTCGTTCACGATCATGTACGTTCGATCGTCTTCGATCCCCCACTTCGTAAGACGTGCCTTTGAGAGCGAATGGCCTTTACAGCCCTTGATGGGGTACACGTACAAGCTGGCAACGCGCACCCGCTTTGGACGGTGCCAGCCCAAATGTCTAGAGAGCAGCCAGTAGATGGCACCACCAGCCGCAAGGCTCCCCAATCCTGCAAGAACCTTGCCCCAAGTCGGCTCGGAGTCAGACGAGAAGCGGGAAAGCAGCCCCATGGGAAGGTTCTTTTCACGGAAGTGCTTGGGCCCCCTTGTTACAATAAAATGGCTGCGCACGGGAAGCTCACACTATCTGCAGGCAATTCTGCAGCTCAACCTATCTTGAGCAACAGCTGCGTGATGCTTGGTACAAGACGACGTCCCAGATATGTCGCAACGTTCCGCCTTCAGCCTCTGTGCCCAGTCAGCAGCATGCCAACCATAACCCAAACTCTCTGCCCGGCCTGAGTCAATGTGCTTGGCTTTCCTGAAGGGTAACACCTACAGCAAGTACCGCTGCTGTTTGCAGTCCAAGTCTCCGATATGGCGAGGGCGGAGGGTGGCCGGCAGTGGGGCTGGCGCTCCGCTCAGGCGCCGGTCCTCTGTGCTCTGACGGAAACTATGCAGATGTCGCACACAGGGCATCTGCTCATAAGACACATCTACATACTGTCACTGATGGCATCAAGACGTACTGGACAAGGCCACCATAATTAGACCGAGGTTCTGTTTCCGCTGCATGCGGCCTCGTACAACGGTTGGCGTTTTGCCCCACAATAGCACGATCAAGCACAGCTATGAATCGAGCGGTGAAGACATTTTAATCCGCTCTAAGTCAACCGAATTCACGAAAGGGACGTCAAATTTCCAGGCATCGACGAACAGACCCTACACTCCTTCAAACAAAGGACGACTTGCATCGCGAATGTCCCCAAGCCATCTCAATCCTTGCATCCGATCATCCCAGTCTCGCAACCCGGAAAAGCTCCACGCTATACCGCTATACTGGCCTAAACCGCATACTGCTGGGCCAGTCGCGCAGCTGCAAGGGCCCCAGACACCTGCTCGAGACGATGCTGCAGCGCCGAGGCCTCCAACACCACATCCAACAGACATCCGATATGCGTGAGCTGTGGGCCAAGGAATCGTCTTTTATCGAGTAGAAGTTGCTATCGCCGCTATGGGTGAGTGTTGCACAGCCGTCGTAGCTTCTGCGGATTGGACGGGACGCGAGAGAAAGCGGCGAGCGATGTGAGGCAGCAGCCGATGGCTGGACTGCTACCGCGCTCCAACAGCAAACTGTGACGACTTTGCAGCTACTGCTTCAACCTTTCAGCAGGGCACCTCTTCTTTGGATAGCCTTGCCGACGGTGCAAATGCATGCAACGCCTTCCTGGCAATGAAACCGAGTTTGGGCACGCGGTTCGATCGATTCTTGGGGTTACATTGTTAAGGAAACCAAAAAGCTTGTTAAAGGATCTCCTTTTTCGTCGGGACCCTTGCACCTCGCTTGCAGGTAGCCAAGGCGAATGGTCACAGCGGCTTTGGCAGGACCGAACGCCTCTAGTGCATCGGACGACTTGGAAGCAATCCATCGAAACGGCACGCGAATCCATGTCTTGCAAAAACAGCTGGGGCCTTGATGCTGGAGTCCCAAGAACACGCCAGCTCCACTCGCAGGCAGCCAGCATCTTCTCCTGAAGGGAGCGCTTGGCTAGGGAGTTTTTGCTCGGCGAGATTCGCGATGGCATAATTATGGAGAACCTCTGAAGCACTTCACTGACGTTCCACCCAAGCTTAGCCTTTGGCATTGAAGAACCCTGCACTCAGTTGCGGGGTCTGATGTTCTTAAGATTTCTTAAGTTTCCCCCGCTCCGTTAGAAGCACGGAGTACGGCTTCGATGCAGTTGACCACCTCCCGGAACGATGACCTCAAAGGGGCCTCGGCAGCAGAACGCCACCCCCCCACGCTAGGGACCAGTGAGCCTCTCCCTGTACCCTGCGGCCTGCGGCAACGGCCCACCGGCCCCGAGGCTCGCTGCGGCACCTTCAGGGACGAGTGAAGAACCTGCGAGGCCAAACTTTTCCCCGGATCTCCTTTCAGGTAGCCCTCCAGCTGCGCTTCCTCCGTAACTGCCACGGCCGCGGCTGCAAGAAGCCGTGCGTTGACACCTTGGGACCGGGAAGCTCGGTGGATCCCACCTGCAGCCTTGCGTCGGAGAAGCGTGGCGCAAGGGTCCGAGCCATCGCGCGGAAAACGTCCTTCGCACAAAAAGCTTTGTGTGCCGAACGTTGCAGGTAGGCAGTCGGCCTGTCGGTCTGGCCTCGGCACTGCGCATGAGAACCATGCCTTGACCAGGCATCATCTGCTCCACAGATTCCTCGGAGCAAGCACACTGAGAGACACCGCGCTGCGGGGCCGCATCGTGACTCCACCCTCTTTCCGGCAGAGTTCCATCTCTGCCGTCTTGGTGGCGCCGAAAACACCAACTCCAGCCAGTCTTTCCAACTCGTCAATCAGAAACTGCCGGTCCTTTTGGACGAGGAAGCTCTGGGACGCACTCATTACTCATCACGGGTATCGGGAGCGCTCATGGACACTCTCCCAGAGTCTCTTGAGTTTGAGTCACCCGGCACCTCGCGGCTGCTGCGACGCATGGACTCCTCCTGGCAGATGATAGCAGATGGCTGCGACGCGCCGATCGACCGAGTATGTGCAGCAAGGCTTCCAACTGAGAACGAGCATCATCGATATCCACCGCGCTTGTAGTCAGGCCTTGGAGTTTGCTTTGGCGCGTATGTTGGCACACTGCCACAGACTGCATCATCCAGCGAGTGGAAGCAGCCCTCAAGCGCTGAGTGCTGCTCTGTAAACCTCTTCTTTGAAGCGCGTGTACTCCGTGAGCCTCAGAGGGCAGGGAACACCTGACGCAAGCGGTCTTGCTGGCCCAACTTCGGCATCAGATAGCTGCAGGCGAGAGACTGTCCCAACAAGCCGCGGCCGCAGCGGAAGGAGATGTAGGCCACGAACGTATCTAAGCGCCTGCACTTGCCGTGTGGCTTGTGGCGACGAGCACACACTGCATGACCTCACCCCGTCCTGTCTGTGGAACCACGTAAATGCTCTTTTCGGAGAAATGCTCGGAAGACAAACAACTGCCCGCAAGCGGTCCTTGGATGAAACAAAAACTTGCCAGCTCTCTGCTACATTGACCGCGTAGGGTAGCACCGGGTTCCCCTGCCACCGAATTTACAGCAAAGGCACTTGCCACAGACGTCGCAACACCATTTCCTCGGGGTGCATAACCACTCATCCCATAAACAGAATAGAATCAATAGAAAATTGGCGCTTGATACGACACCAGATCACAAAACGAAACACATGAGACAGCATCGACAGGGTGCATGCGAGAGTTCATTTCGGATTGTGGCCAAGTATCCCAATCATTCCCGATGTGCGCACTACGGGAAGCATCTTTGTGGGATCTCCTGGGCCATGCACTGAAATTAAACACGGTTTTGCCTGTCTCGGACTGACCAGAGTACTGTCCAGAACTTTACGGCCAGTATCTTGTAAAGCGGTTCCCTGCGGTCTCTGCAACCCAGTTGTACTTGGCGCGGTGGGCTTTGGCAATCGGAGCATCTGGGTACTCCCTACCTCAAGATCCCGAGCCGGTCTTCGCGCACATGCCTTTGCTGCAGTCTGCCCCCTACACTCAAAGCCAAGCGACGAATTTCGTCACTTTGTGTTTCGAAGACTTCTCCCTGCACCAATTCCTTTCCTGCTCATGGAGGAACAGGGAGCGTGCCCACAGACATGCCAGAGACATCGGCAGCCAGTGCAGGGTGCCATCAAGCCTTTTCTCACAAGCCGGATGGGCGTTGGATCCGCAGAGCCCGCGTGCCAGCCGATGACGACCTTACGAGCTGAAGGAACGCGCGGAGGTGCTCAACATACTATTGAATGAACTTGCTGAGCGCCAGAAGGTACCACCCTGAGGCCTTCTGTCGAGCAAACCAAAAGAAATTCCATGTCTGCGCCCCACCCTCGAATGCCACGAGCCTTGATCACTAGACCGGTGAATGGATCTGCACTTAGGGCATTTTTGCCCAGTTCTTGAGCTTATCCAAAGTCGAAGCTTGAACTTCGCTCTTGGATGAACAGCCACTCGCCGCCTCGTCCAAAGCAGCTGTCTCCGCATAGCGCCGTCGCGCCTCGCCATCGGCAGCGACAGCCTGGGAGTTTGCTCTCTCCCAATTCCTTGCAGTCCCAACAGTGAGGCTTTCTGCGAGCTCCATCTTGTCAGGTTCGACTGGCTGGCCTGCCGTTCTAGCTACAGATGATTACTTGAACTTGGTCTTGCACAGCCCAGCCGCCGGCAAAACCGGGCCGCGAGCAACGACGCGAGGGGTCTCCGGAGCCACGCCTTGTCAGTTCAGAAGGCTTAGAGAAGCTAGGCCAGGCTTCTGGCCTAGCGCTTTCACGGCGATTATCGCAAACTCCCATGCTTGCAAGCACGACCTGATTTGGTAGAGCGCAGCAGACCGACAGTTCAAACCACGAGTGCAGGACCAGACCCGGCCAGGCAACACCCAAGATCACTCATGCAAGCAGAGTTCAAGAAGAGTGGACCTGACATGTCAAAGACAGGCAGGGCAGCGAATGTAGCTGGCCAGCATAACAGAAGCGACACTCCGCACGATCTGCCAACATGTTGCGGAGGATTGCCAGGCCATGATGAAGTGTCTTCCGGCTGACATCGCGCGTTCGAAGCCATCCACTTTGCGTCTGTAACACTTGTCAGGCAATGCCGAAAACGACGCCCTGAGGCGAAGCATGCTACCAGTGACATCCGGGGGTGGCCTTCAAAGATGGTTTGAAGTCTAGCGTCTTCCACCCTGCAAATTGAAAATTAGAAAGCGTGGCGATGTCTGATGCTTGAGATCGCGAAACCCAGCCAGTCGCCGTCCTGAAATCGCCCTCGAAGGCACTTTGATTGTGACAAGGCACGCCGGCCGGCTGCTCGTGCTGGACCTGCTCACACGGTTCCACGTGTGCGCATCCGTTCCCTCCACTTCAGTTGATTCAGTCGGAGCCGAAGATAAGCTCAGCTAAGCTATGAGTGTAGCCCTCGCCCTCCCACGCCTGCGATCTGTTGCGCCTTGGGCGCCTGCAGGAGGTCAGCAAGGACGAGGTCCTTCGATCCAGTGCCTTTGGCATCACCTCACACACGACCCAAAGGCACGAAGCCTGATCGCAGAGAACCCGATGTCACAACCACGAATGTAATCCAACAGAAATCAAGCCGGGAGGCTGGGGGTCTTCGCGCTCCGGGCGCGCTTTTTGGGAGGCTGCTCCGCACCATCACCTGCGCAAAGTGGCAGAAGCGTTTCAAATTGACACGAGCCGAAGAAGCTTCTCAGACATCGGCTTGAAGGCCCAGCCGCACCCCGCACCATGGCTTGGGAGGCTAAGCCACGGCAACCCTCGAAGTGCCAGTCAAATATAACTCTTGCGGACAAGACAGTCAACGGTGCCCTGTGTCAGAGAAACAGCCAGCCCTTCACCTGTGGAATGCGAGGCAGATAAGGGCAATGCAAAGGAAAGCTGTTTCGATGATCAAGCTTCCATGACCCCGATTTGATATCTTTGAATGCCTATTTCTTGCACGTAACGGTGCCTCCTGAAATTGGGCGGTCGAGTGGTGGCACTGTCCTGTCTGAAGAAGGCAAAACCGTCCCTCCTCAGTTTCTGTGCAAACACTGGCTTCACCTGCTTCACGCCACGGACATGAAGAGCGCCTCGCCCCCTACCCGCTCAACCAGAACAAATACATGGCGTTGAAACTGGAGCAACATGAAGCAACTAAACCCTTCAGAGTTCACATGCCTTGAACAGCATCTTGGCACCCTGCGCATTTGTCACGATGTTTGCCCAGGATCGCTTGAGGAAGTCATTCACCTGCGGGCAAACTGTCTGCCCTGCCTTTCACCTCCAGCTTCTAGCCTGTTCAGGTAGCATTCCGGTTTGGCCCCGACCTTTGCTTCCAGTTCAGGCTCGGTGACGTCAGACCTGACGAGTCTGTCAAATGGGTTCGTGATACCGACGGAGCCACCAACGCTTTCGGAAGGCATGAAGCCATAAGCACAGTGAGCTGCTGCTCTTCAGTTCCCCAAACTGTGAAAAGATTTCCGAAAGCTTTTCACCTTGCCTTTGGCCACACGACAAAACCCTGCGCCCATATTATGGCCTTTTTTGGTCTGCGACTGCAAATTTGCACTTTTCCAAAATCGCAGAAACCCCGCAGCCAGCTCGATTCTGTCGGTTGATGGGTGGATCAAGACCGAGCTGCCGACGATCGCCTGGCAGCCAAAAGGCGCCGAGCATCGGCGCCTCGGTCCGCATATGGGATGAGCACGAATTTTGCGAGGTTGGGGGGCCAATTCAAGCTCGCGTTCGGCTGCCATTTCTCATGCTTTGGTCTCTGTCTGCTGAGCGTATGCTGTCCGACCTGAACAACTTGTTCAAGCAAGGTGGCCAAGGACTAAGGTTCCCTCACCCTGCACGTTGTCGTAGCAGCCACAAGCGAAACTCCCAAAGAGAAGTCCCAAAGGCATGCGGAAAGGTGCTTTGCCCTCCCTTCAAGGAAGCAGGAGACAGCGCCTTCCCCGGCCTGGAAAGTCCGACTTGCAGCGAGCGAAGTCTAATTAGGGCCTATAGGGCCCTAGAGTACTTGGCTTAGTGCAGGACGCAGTGTTGAAAAGGCCTCCTCACTCGTCAACTCCGACCTCAGCAGCATCCGCATCTAACGACTTACGAAGCACAGCTCTCCATTGCTGTTTTTCTCTTGATGAAACTTCCCCACTCACTTCCATCTCCTCACTTCCCGCCTGAGGCGGCGCCCAGAAACGTCTGCTCCAGCCTTGCCGGCCTGCAACAACGACTTTAACTTTGAGGTTTTTGAGCCTTCTCCTCATCCTCCTCCCTGCAGCTGCGGCAAACAGAGTGTGGGATCCCGAGAGATCACAACCGACGGACTTTCCCCAAATGCCGCCTGTCTGACTTGCTGTTGCCCTCCCTGGGTCCGGTGACCCAGGGATAGGGCTGCAGGCGTGCACAAGCTGCATCGTCACAAGATGCACCCAGGCAGGAAAACCTTCAGGTCTGCGATTTGCAGACGAAGGCCTCCTTGAGCCCTACTTCTGGCCTAGCATCACCGCGGCTCATCATTCTGAGAAACTCCCGTCTTCGTGTTGTAGTAGTAAATGGTTCCTTGGCGGTAATCGATCGTTCGCATTCTGGAAGCTCACGTCAGGAAGCAACGTACCACGTGCGCTTTCACAGGCACACGAACAGAGGGGCGGGGGATAACATCTTGCTCAAAGCCGCGTCAGTGCGAAAATGGAATCAAGGGGCGGGTGCTTTTAGACTTGATCCTGATCCAGTCAGGCGGAAGTGGACGAAGATGCCCGAAAAATCGGTCTTGAGCTCGCATCCTCGGCTACGAATCGCTTCTCTTCCTTCTGGTAAACATACACATACCAGGCTAACAATTCCACGCGGTCGTGTCGCAACTGATGATGGAGGGTTCCGTTCCGTCTCAACTGCGCGAGTTTTCTGAAATGCAGCCAAATGCTGGACCGGAGGTAAGCACGAAGTGACATCTACTAACCGTCTTCTGTCACTTGCGGATTTCTAAACTCACAGCGGGCCATACTGGCCATACTGATTTCATCCGTCACGGCTTCCCGGAACGAAATGCAAGCAAATAGCCACTCCTCACGGGTGGTGGGCTCGCTGACCTTGATTCGTCTCACCAAGGCACGAACAAGACCCGTTACCTCAGAAAACCATGGGATCTCCAGGCCTCAGGTGCCGGAACCGGCTCTTCGCGCCGCTGCCGCTGGCGAGGGGGTTCCTTCAACTCCAGGAGATCATAATCAAGCTGAGGATGCTGAAGTGCGAAGATATGCGAAGATTTCAGCCTGTCTTGGGTTGCCTAGCTAGAGCAATGCCCGCACTTCGCGTGCGGACAGAAGGCAGCGTAAGGCAGACATATCAGTAGACCTTCGCAGTTTCAGCAGACCAGCCGCCTTTTGGTACAACTCACTCATAGTAGCCCCAAGACCTCACTCTTGTTCGCGACCTGAAACTATTAGAGTGTCGGTTGTAGGATGTTCTAGGACTGTGTCTAGGATCCTGATGATCCAGATTCCAAAGGGTTTCTCCCTGGTTTGGACGCCTACGACTGTCACAATTCAACCTGGCTTTCATCGGACAGGTCATTTGCACCAGAAACTGCCGCATCTTTTCAGCAGACGCGGGACAACTCTGTAGTCCACTCAACCTCCAAAAATGCCAGAAGCAAAGGAGGTCTCCCGACTCCGAAGAACAACACGGCTGAGCCAATTTCAGGCATGGCGCAAGCGGCTCCGGCACCGGCTCTCTCCAGCGACGAGCATCGGGTTTGGAATCCTCACTCTTAGAGTCCTTCAGCAGGGCCATCGAACACTTCAAGGCTGCGAGTGCCGTACTGTCCATGCTCCTCGTTCCAGCCGCCTTTGCTCCAGCCGTCTTTGCCCCAGTCCCCCTGCGAAACAACAAAGCATTCACAGCACTTCTGCACAGCACCCGACATTCCCAACTGCTGGCCTTGCCCCAGGAACTTTGGTCCCAAGCTCCCTTGCCCCAGTTGCCTCGTCCAATCTACTTCCGGGTGAAGCAGCAAAAACCGTCATTCTGAAGCGCAGCTACATTTTTCAGCAGGATGCCCACCAGAAAGTGCTCGAAATGCTGGAAGAACAAACAAAGCAATTCGTAGCACCACGTGCAATGTCAGCTCACGACGCCAAAAACTTCTCTGAAGTTCCCACTCCAAGCCGCCTTTCCAGGACCACCAGTCCGAAGACCACCAGTCGTTGCCTATTCGGCTCAAAAAATCCCTGCAAGGCGCTGCTTCCTCCCCTCCATGCAACGGCCTTTTCCTTTCCAGCCCTTCGAGGTCCAGTCTTTCCCCTTCTTGCCTCGGTGGCAATGGACTACCATGCCGTGCAGCCTTAGCCTTCGAAACCAAGCGAACTACTCCATCTCGCCCTGGTTTGCCGTTAAGCAATCTGAGGCCTGAATTGCTGCTTGCAGCTGAAGCGACCCCAGCCTTTGTCGGGTTTCCACATATCATCCGTGTTCTGTCCTGACCAGCATGAGTACACGGAACACGAGCGCCCCGAGGATCGACATCGATCAAACATTGGGAAATATGGGAAATTGACGTCACTCAGATCGCGCCGCAATAGGTGTTTGGAAAGATGCCTCGTCCTCGGCCTCCATCTGAAGAGCTGCTTGCCTTGCCTGGCGTGTGCAACCAACGATCGATCGCGCACCCTCTTGAAGCTTCCAGCCTCGTTCAAAGTACATTTCCGATTCGGCACGTTTCAGTGCACTCTGGTGCATGCCGCGCCTTTGCCTTTGAGCCAAGCCTTGCCCTTGCTGATTCCAATATCTTCTTCTTCGTCCTCGTCGTCGTCGTCGTCCTCCTCCTCATCATCATCCTGCGCCCGAGTCCCACGCCAGGATTGGACGGAATGGAAACCGTGCTGGAATCATCTGGGATCCAAAACGTAACATTTTTTTCGCCATCCCTCGGCATTTGCCACGCACCCAATAATGCCCAGTAAGGACCGCAACTTAAGGACAAGTTCGACTCCCGACGTGCTATCCAAAATGGTACGACGGACAGACTCTCTTTTTCGAGTGGTATGAAAGCTCATCGCGCCGGGTCCGTCGCCTTCGCGGCTGTACGTCGCCGGGGACGCTCTCTGCATCCCGCCTAGCGCTCCCCCACCCCACTCTGCACCGGCAGCCCCTCACACTGCCAAGTTCACCAGTTCGTCTGCAGCGTAGTTAACGGCGAAGTCCAAGTCCTTAACCGCCCTCGCCAGCGTCTGCAGGATGCCCTTCACGGGCATGTTGCCCCTGGTCCATCCCATTCGCCGTGCCATCTCCAGGTCTCTGCGTTGGGGACATTGGCCCTCGACGGCACACGACGAACAATCAGCCAACGCCGCCGTCGACCAGAAGGCCGCTAGCTCGCCATTGACCGCGGGGTCCTTTCCGTAGCGTTTGGTAAGGGCCCACTGGCCAGCGACGTTGTCGACAAACGCCAGCCATTTCTGTGGGAGCCGACGGGCCAACGTCACCAACACCAGCACCTGCGCTAGGATCTCGAGCACATATAGATGAAGGCCTTCCTCGCCGAGAAGAAGTCGAGGAAGTCCGCGGGCGCCGTGCCGCAGTCGTATAAGACTTGCATGGATCCTGAAGACGTAGCCCCATCCATTCCGGCCTAAAAAGGCTTGACTGACACCTCCGCCGGAAAGTGGCCGGCTTTGTGACGCACTTCACCGGGCTGGCCGCCGGCACACCATCGTCGATGTAAGGCACCAGCTTGGGTGACGTCAGGGCCGCGCGGAGTCCCAGCGACAATCTGGTGTCGGACGTCGCCGCTGCGTCGTACGCCCTGGCATAGGTGGGCTGTAGCGCCGCCTTCCCGACGGCCGTGTACGGTGCGATTGCGGCTGTGCCTTTTTTTTACAGGATTGACCATGCTTAAAGATTCCCTTGCCCTGGCTTGCGTCCGACAGCACAGCATTGTTTCAAGTTGCCCGCATGCTTGAATCAGCGCCCTCTGGTAGACTGCCATCCGACGTGGGACCATGGCTTCCACTGTCCCTGCTTTCGATGACCCGGCCGCACTTGCCGCATTACTCAAGCAATGGTCCGTCTCGGACACACTCTTGGAGGTGCTCACTGCAAAAGGCTTCCAAACTATCTACCATCGCCTCCGCGATTCCGTCCGATGGTAGCCCGGACGATTTCCTGCGCGTACTGCCGCCCCGCCTAACCCTGCAGCACCTGTGTCTTCGCCCGCTCCGGCGAAAATCACTCCTGAGGCGGCGGAAACCCTAAGGCGAAAATTCATGAAATCCTACCCCAGCGAGATCCTCAGCCCCGCCAGCACTCCGAGCGTTGGGTTCCTCTGCCGCCTCCGGTCCGTACTTGACAAACTCACCATCTCGATTTTTCCTGGAGTGGGCTGCAGCACCACCTTGTCGCGACGGATCGACACGAGAACCCCAAGGATCATGTGCTCCTTGGCTGGATTCCGGACTTTCGACGGCTTCGTCTGTAGGTCCAGCAGGTCCAGGAACCCCGCCATGCCGTCGAAGGCGCCATCCGCCAGCTCGTCGATGCCGACCCCGTTAAAGTCGCCGATCGGCGAAGTGCACGGCCGGAGACGACCCACAAGAGCACCACATCTGACTGCCTCCGGCGCCGCCAAAGAGGTCCTCGAGTGTACCACGAATTGAGGACAAGGACGCTGGGCGCCTCCGCCTGTACGGAACGTTCCGGCCCCACCAGCTCGAGTGGACACGTCGTGCGCGTTGGATGGTGGAGTTGGCCGTGCGGTCTTGACGTACCGCCGGTTTGTGCCGCCAGCGTCTCCAACAAGGGCCCCACCCAACCTCACGCGGCATCTCGAACCCCCCGACAGATCCTCCGTGATGCCGGCCACGTCCGGGTAACCGACGAGGTCCAGGAGGTAAAGAGGACGACGAGGATCTGTGTGTGGTGGGGTCGGACGCCAGCCACTCTTCTGTGCGGTCGCCCCATGTCCTCGACCATGTTCGCCAGGACGAGTCGGCAGATGCGCCCGACGTCGTGGCGCCACTCAGACCAAAGTGGCAGTATACCTTTCCCAACGCCGGTTCCAGCGAGAGTGTCCTGGCCACCATGCAGTGGCGTAGTCGCAGCGCAAGCCGCCAGTTTCGTGCGAAGGTCCGGGTCGTCATCAGGGAGGTCGTCCGGTCTGCGCCGGGGCGGCGGTTCCATGGGGACCGGTCCTGTGCTGAACTGCTCCACCGTCCACTGCATGGTCGTCGAGAACCGTGGTGTCGGTGGCGGGGCCGCCTGGGTAGGCGTGGCCGTGGTGAGCGACCAGCATCACCAACACAATGCCAATCGTTGGCCATTCTGTGCCGCAAAGCTCACATTGGTTTGCCCAAGTGAATCATGTGCAGGCACTCCTTCACGTGCACAGGGAGCCGGCCCGCCTGCCTGCCTGCATCATGGCCTCTTAATGCGGCGTCGTGCCGTCGGCCGCCTTCGCCGGATCCCGGTTCTCCTCCTCCGCCGGCGTGGTGGCACCAGGTAGTCTCAGCCGACCAGACGACACCGACTCGTCCGGACGCAGGTTCCCCAAGCCAGTCGACGGCACGACGCTTGCTTGGAGGCCGGACACCGGGCCATGCAAAAAGTTGGAGCCGCATACGAGGATTGGCTCTACATCGAGCAGCTCCGTCACGACGTTCTCGAACAGGTATAGGGCCTATGGAGCGGTCGCCGACGAGCCCGGCGAGGTCGCCTGCGACGGGCTTTGCCTTTGCCCTTTTTTTTGTGCTCTTGTGCCGTCGGCTCCCGTGTGGGCATGCCGGCTGATGACACCACAGGGCTGAGCATGGACGGACTCCATCGTCGGAGGCGGCGGGGCCGCCGGTGTCGGTCCTCCAGTGGTACTGCCGGTAGAATGGTAGAAGTCCTCCGCCGACACGATGTTGAGGCGGCAAAGGCCAACGCCGCGTCCTCTTCGCACAGGAAACCAACTCCAGCCAGGCCGGGGTGCCCCGTCAAATTGGCAGCTGGCGCTGGTCTCGTCGGCTTATAACCGGACGAGCAACAACGCCGGTATCGCCGGCTGCTGCTGACATAGTTTACTGATCCGCCGGAGGCTCCGGGTATGGATCAGCTGGTACGGCGTCCCCGCCGGTAGATTCGTCGTGGCCGAAGCCACAGCGCCGCGCGACGAATTGATGGCTCGCACGTGCACCTGGCGCTCCAGACCAGTCCATCCGACGAAGAGCGACGACACATCCTCGCCGGCTGCGACAGGGCAGCACGGAGGGTGTCGACCGCGGCCATCACCTCAGCCACGGAAGGAGCCGCGGTCGCGACGAGGGAGATCTACCGAAACGGGGGAAGCAAAGCCAGCAGCAGCTGCGGCATGTGCGTCAGATGCGTCGGACTTGTCCCTTCACACATTACATGTGTTACACACAACACACGACATCAGTCCAAGACCAAGCCCTGACCAAACCACAAGCCTCTTCCTCCGGCTCCTTCTCTGAAGCGACTTGGCCTTTCTGCTTCCCTGAAACAAGACAGCGTGGGCATTTCATGCGTTGATGGCTCGGAAACGCCTAAAAAAGTCCGAGGCGCCTTTACTCTTGCCCTTCGCGGGCTTGTCTGCAGGCTTGCTCTTCGACTTGTTCTTGCCCTTTCCCGACTGTCCATTCGCTTGGCTGCGACCTTGTGCTTTGGCTGCTTTGGCCTGCCAGGCCTTTCCCTTGGCTTTGACAATCCTTGGCCACGTGAGTTAGCCAAAATCGGCAATGACACAGGTGAAGTTGTCGGCTCCGGAGGCTTCAAAAAGACTGTTCGAAACCCTAAGAATGCTTGCTTGGAGGATTCTAGGAAGGTGTTTGACACGAACCACTTAACAGCCGTCCTGGCGGTCCCTTCCAACCCTTCACCCGTTGAAGAAGGTTGAGCGCGCCTGCACCCAGTGGCCTCTCTGTGGGGGGGTATGGGTGAGGTTCAAAGCCCTAGCCCTAGCCGCAGGCCCTCCAGCTTTGGAGTCGTTACCTTCCGAGCTCGGCTGAGGCTCGGCAGCTCCTCCTCCTCCGCCTCGATTTCCACCTGTACAGCAAAAGCCGTACAGAGCAAAAGCAGCACAGAGGCAAAGAACAGAGTTTGTGTTTGGTGCCAGCTGGAAGCGGCCGGGAGAAGCCCAGCAAGTTCTGCTGAGTAGATGACACAAGAAACCTACGTTCACATGGAAGTAGAAACTTCAGAGACGTCCCTGCCTCAACGTCAACATCGTCCTCGTCAGCTGCATCTTCCACCGGGCTCACCTTCTTTCCATTGCCTCATGTGCCGGCTGCCCTCTTCGCTCACCCACTACACGCGGCACTCGGAGGCCAGGAACCCGAACCTTTGCCTTTCCCAGTCTCCTTGCCGTTCGGCCGAGGGCCTGCTACGGTGCGGACTTCTCAACTGAAGGTGAACGAAAACTGGACTTCCCGCCTTTCGAAGGCTGTCCATGCCCTTTGCCTGCAGTGCCCCCGGCCAACTGCAAGCAGACATCTGCTCGGTACGCCCCGGCCTCTGTCAGAAGCAGAAGTTGGCTTTTCACCCTCCTCGTCCATGACCACCTCCTTCTCAAGATGCGTGTGCTCAAGCTCGAGGGCTCTGAATGGAGCACTCGGATGCCCAGGGCGGGATCCTCACCATCCTCAACATCTGCCGGAGCTTCCTCGTCTTCTGCTTCCTCCAGATCGTCGTCCCTGACAAGCGTCAAGTGTCTTGGGCGCGCCTCTCTTCAAAACAGTAAGACGGAACTACCCACCAAGCCCACTTCTGCAATGACAGCCAGACGTGAAAATGATGCGGTCCGAGAAGGACCGCCATCAAGCCAGGCCACTCCTTCAACATGTTGGCCAACGCCTGCAAGCTCACATTGATAGACGTTGCTCCGAGACACCAACTGAAGCCAAGCGACAGCGAGCGCAGCATCGCTCTCATCGTGGTCTTGGTGCGATGCACCTGAAGCACACCCCGCTACCCCCCCCCCCCGTCCCGCTGCCCGTCACAGCGTCCCCGAAGAGAAAAAACGAAGGACTTGGATCTTTGATGTCACAGCTCCCTGTAAGCTTCTCAGAGCCTGCTTGGCGCTTCAGCGGTGCCCCCAGCAAAGCAAAGGCACCACCTCGCGACCCGAAGGCCCCGTCCTGGCACGGCTCTTATCGGCCGCCTCGAGAGAACCAAAGGTCCCAAGCCCATGAAAAGACCGTTTCAAGGCAGGAAAGGAGCCAGCAGGCGGCATGCCCGGCCTGCCTAAAAAACACCTCCTTCAACTGCCTGCAACAGCCTGTGCTCAAAAATCCCACGTGCTTTGCAAGCACTTGATTGATGTTGACCGATGGGAGACAGGATGGAGACAGGACAAACAGGGAAGATGCGGGTGGACCAAAACCCGGGACGCAACCGCAACTGATCAAATCGCGTCCTCCTCGAAGGTTGGGGAGTCTTCCTCGATCATGTATGCATGATCTCGAAGACTGATTCTCACAACCCTGCCGTCTACTTGAAGTAGAGTGTCCAAGCCATCCGGGCTGTCATTCGTGGACATCTGCACTGGAACAGTGTCTTTATGTCGGGAGATTCTGCCTACTGGCAAGTAGGTTCGGGCTCGCCGAACTAACACCGTATCTGTTGTCTACATACCTCATTCCTGTTTTGTGCACAAGTCATTCTTCTACACTGGCATGCTGAATCAGCAGCATGGGAATCAATCCGTTGGGGCCGGGGTCAGGTTATGGCGGCAATCATGTCATGAGCTGTTACTGATACTGTCTGCCGAGGCCTTCTTCAACAGCTGCGGTCAACGAGCAAGCCAGACAAGTGCATCGCAAAGCAAAGTCAAGTCACAACATGCTGCTACGAGAAGCCAGTTTCTCTGCACAAGCTCGAGACACACGACCTGGACATTCGTCTCTTAACTCGGGCCTGCCTGAGTCTCATAGAATGTGGACTGGGCAGTTGATGCCAAGAATGCTGGCATCACCTTTCAAGGCCACATGACTGCAGACCTCTCGGCCCTGTGTGCAGAATCCATGCATGCTTCTTGGTGGAAGATAAGTACAGTCTCGGCCTGACTGGCCACACCATCTGGCGAGCCAGAGAAGTCCTTCCTGTGACCGACAGAAAAAGGCCATGCACGATCTTGTGCATATAGACACGATGTGGCCGGCTCTGCCTTTGGTGCAATCGCTGCAAGGCTTGGAAAGCCTCGCAGAAATCCAATCCCACAAGACAGAACGCATTCCGTCAAGGGGTGGAAGCCTCAAGCCGCTCGCTTGAAGCTGGCCGGGAAGTGTGCCTCAACTTGTACTCCTGCTCTTGCATACACCACGCCCATCTCAAAGCAGCATGGCAAAGCAGGTCATGAGCCCTCGCGATGCATCCACACGATGAATGAATCACCCTTGCCCCGTCCATCAGAAAAACGCCAACAAAAAGCGAGTGCTTGGCTACACGCCAATGCTCTGAACCGGGAAGTTGCTGCTGAATCTTCACGGGAGCCTCGCAGCCCCTACATCAGTCAACCCTGGGGCACGACCTCCTTCCCGACAGTACTCTTGATTTCCGGCATGGGTCATGCTGCTGATTGTGGCATGTATGGGCAGCCTCCTGGTCAGAATAGTCGACGAGGTCCTCCTGCGAAAGCACCTGCTGCACATGTCATACTGCGAGGTTACCTTGCAGACTTAGCACCACAAGAATTGTCAAGCCAATGTCGCGTAACACACACACACACACACTTAAGTGGTTCTCGTTCTGACATATCAGCGTCTGCGAGTAGCAACATGCAACAGGTCGCGCCGCATCACTGGATGAGCAAAAAGAAGATTGCCATAGCTGCAATCACATCCACGAAGCATGCAGCTACCCGTTTGGCCACGACAGCTCCAGCACAAGGTGGACACAACTCTCGGCTCCGACAATCGTGAATGTACACATGCCACCTGCGCATCTGGCAATCGCTTGGACACATCTGGCTGGACTTCGGCTGCCCGTGGCCTGATTAGGCCCGAGACTCACTGCACGTCACCGTGCGTTTCTCGTTGCTCTGCTGGGCATCTTTCAGCCGTCCCCGGCAGACTCCGCAAGTCCATGGAGAGCTGGTTTCGCCGCGAACGCCACTGTTTAGCCGTCAGTCGCTTCAAGCGACCCGCTTCAAAACACTGTTCCAGTGCTTGCCGACATTATAGCCGAACATGTCCAAATACCTGATGTAGCATCACCCTACAAAGTATCAAGGACACATCACTGAAACATACTGAAACGAAAACCCAAATTTGGCAAGTCGCTTCGTGTCACAACGGTATTGTTCACCATGAACCCGGCCTCGGATGAAAGAGTCACTTTGCACGGTCACGGGTTTTCCTCACGCTGATACGCTACTTGGAATGATGCATTTGGTGTTCGACTTTGGGGCTCGCTTTCAACTTCCAGGCAAACAATCCGCACCCCCAGCTCTGCCAGTCTCTCCAAAGCACATGTTTCCTGTGGGGTCGCCGAGTCGCAAAAGCTTGCCAGAGCTGCAGTTTTGGTTCTCAAGTGTTCGATGCCTTCTCTCGTGCGTCTTCGGTCCTCTTCCGCTTCTTCCTGAACAAGGCTGCTGAAAGCCAACCGTCACCCTCACTGACTGGCGGACAGCTGTTTCAGGACACATGCTGCTGCTCACCCTCCAACGACAAAGGAGGACTGAGCGCTGAATAAATCAATGGGCCAGTAAATGTATCCGTATAAATCTGGCGTCCTGATCGAGGTTGGCTTCGAACCAATTTTGCATTTGCACGCTTGTGTCCTCCACCTCACGATGCCGCATTCTGTAAGCATGAGGACCTGCAAACCAACAAAACGCTCATGTACGCAGCCGCTTGGCCACCAAATAGTCGCCGGCTCTCAGGATGTCGTGCAAACGGCGAATGGCTGTCGCACAATGCTGGTGCGCATCTTCAGACACCAACCTAAAACTGCGTTAGCAAAACTTACGTTGTATCTATGATCCGAAACGACGATGGAAAAAAGAGAAAATTGGAACTTGGATAGCCAAAGGCACCACGGGTGTGGCAGCTCCGCAACGAAAGCATCTGTAAACAAGTCCTCGTCCCATCATGGCACGAACGTTGCTCGTGCTTGCCTTCAACCTGCTCGACAACTTTGCTTACCTCAGCTGTTCTCCGGCGGTCCCCTTTTACTTCTTAGCTAGATTGTCACATCCTGTCGACGAGCACCTCTGTCCTCGAAGCGCTCGGTGCTACATTCCTGGGCTTCTCAAACGATGCCAAATCATAAAATCAAGGCTGAAACATTGCAGGCGGCCAACTACAGCCGTAGCTTTTCTTGCCGGGCAACCGTTTGACATGCATCGCTTCATGTTCTCTCGCTTCATGTTCTGGACAAGGCACGTGGAAAACGATCTTCGGGTGGGCCCGAGCTTTTTCACCTCAAATCTCATGTTGTCGGTGTTGCTTCAGCAGCTGTGTCAAACACTGCCTTTCTAAGTGCACATGTGCGTTTATGTGGCAAGCGTTGGCGTTGTGATAGGTGTGAATTCGGGACCCCTGCATGATTTATCGCACGCTAGCAAGCACGCTTTGATCCTTCCCTGCTCTGTCTCCACCTTGGAAGGCCATCTTGGGGAAAATAAGCGGCGGGTTGTTCCAGGATGTTCCTGGTCGTGGAAAATAGAAGTTAGGTAAGCCGAGGCCGTGGCCTGAAGCAAGCGGTCGTAGTTCTACAGTATTCGTCGCGGCAGTAACTTTTAGCAAATGCGTTTTGTATTGCACATTTTGTTGAATGTCAGGCATCCTCAACCCATGTAATCGGGTTCCGCCTAAGCCACCAGTAAATAGCCCAAACACGCGTATTTTGCTAAGTTGTCGGATTATGCTGGGTTGTCGGATTAGGTGAACTCCTCACGTACTTTCTTTCATTGTTTTTTTGATAGTTCTGGTCGTTCTAAGACAGAAAAAGTGACCAAAACAGGTGAAATTCTGGTGTGTCGTTCGGGTGTTAGAAGCCGCCCAGCTGCATGTTTTTCATTTAGGTTTTTTCAAACCACCCATTTCGGCTGATTTTTTATAGGTTCCGAGCCACAGACTTTTTTTTTTTCACACACCTTTTTCCGCGCCAGTATCCGCTGCACGGTGACACGACCGAGCTCCAA